CAATAAACACTCGATAGATGAACATACATGTAAATATACCAATGCCCACTGGATAGATGAACATACATGTAAATATACCAATACCCACTAGATGGATTAACATACATGTAAATATACCAATAAACACTAGATGTATACACATACATGTAAATATACCAATAAACACTAGATATATACACATACATATAAATATACCAATAAACACTAGATAGATACACATACATGTAAATAAACCAATAAACACTAGGTAGATATACATACATGTAAATATACCAATAAACACTAGGTAGATATACATATATGTAAATATACCAATAAACACTAGATATGTACACATACATGAAAATATACCACTTCCCACTAGATAGATTAACATACAGGTAAATATACCAATAAACACTAGATAGATTAACATACATGTAAATATACCAATAAACACTAGATGTATACACATACATCATACATGTAAATATACCAATAAACACTAGATATGTACACATACATGAAAATATACCACTTCCCACTAGATAGATTAACATACAGGTAGATATACCAATAAACACTAGATAGATAACATACATGTAAATATACCAATAAACACTAGAAAGATTAACATACATGAAAATATACCAATAAACACTAGATAGATACATATACATGTAAATAAACCAATAAACACTAGGTAGATATACATACATGTAAATATACCAATACACACTAAATAGATACACATACATGTAAATATACCAATAAACACTAGAAAGATTAACATACATGAAAATATACCAATAAACACTAGATAGATACACCTACATGTAAATATAACAATAAACACTAGATAGGTACACATACATGTAAATACACCACTTCCCACTAGATAGATTAACATACAGGTAAACATACCAATAAACACTAGATAGATAACATACATGTAAATATACCAATAAACACCATGTAAATAAACCAATAAACACTAGGTAGATATACATACATGTAAATATACCAATACACACTAGATAAATAACATACATGTTAATATACCAATACACACTAGACAGATACACATACATGTAAATATACCAATAAACACTAGATGTATACACATACATCATACATGTAAATATACCAATAAACACTAGAAAGATTAACATACATGAAAATATACCAATAAACACTAGATAGATACACATACATGTAAATAAACCAATAAAAACTAGGTAGATATACATACATGTAAATATACCAATACACACTAAATAGATACACATACATGTAAATATACCAATACACACTAAATAGATACACATACATGTAAATATACCAATACCCACTAGATAGATTAACATACATGTAAATATACCGATAAACACAAGGAAGATATACATACATGTAAATATACCAATAAACACTAGATGTATACACATACAAGTAAATATACCAATAAACACTAGATATATACACTTACATGTAAATATACCAATAAACACTAGATAGATACACCTACATGTAAATATACCAATAAACACTAGATAGGTACACATACATGTAAATATACCACTTCCCACTAGATAGATTAACATACAGGTAAATATACCAATAAACACTAGATAGATAACATACATGTAAATATACCAATAAACACTAGATAAATAACATACATGTTAATATACCAATACACACTAGATAGATACACATACATGTAAATATACCAATAAACACTAGAAAGATTAACATACATGAAAATATACCAATAAACACTAGATAGATACACCTACATGTAAATATACCAATAAACACTAGATAGATACACATACATGTAAATATACCAATAAACACTAGATAGATACACCTACATGTAAATATACCAATACCCACTAGATTGATTAACATACATGTAAATATACCAATACGCACTAGATTGATTAACATACATGTAAATATACCAATAAACACTAGATAGATTAAGAAACATGTGCAGAAACACAACGAAAGACTAAATACAGCAACAAATACTGGATAGATTAACATATAATGGATACAACAGATAAGACGATTTCTTGTTTTTCAGAATGTGAAGAACAGGTGGAGGGCTTTAATGTCGAGTCTTCTCACAGAGAATGCGAATATCAATAGTTTGACTAGATACTGAATTATCCTGTAAAGTTTCTTCGAACTGGCGTAAAGTTCACATTTAAGAAAAGGTCACGGACATCGTAAGGAATAACAGTGGTATACATCAACTTTTGGCGAAACGAAATATGTGACTCCATATCAACAGCTCGAGAAATATCAGGCATCCACATTATTTAGCAATACTTAAAAAAAATCCAAGCAAAGTAAGTAATGACAGTTTAGAACAGACAGTAACGTTGACTAGGGATATATACTAGGGATAGATTCAAACCAGTAGAGTTGAGATGTCTTATCCTTATGAAAGGCTTTGTGGCTTTTCGGTCAAACCTCTTCTTTGCCTTTAAAAGATACAGACAAAAAATAACCATCAACACTTGGAACCTGGTTTATGGTTTAATAACAAAACCCTTGACGGAGGATGCTGAAGAACCAAGAAACATCGGAAAAGCTAGTATAGCCGTGAAGTTTAAGGATTGGATATTCAAATATGGACTACTTTTACGACTTATATCTGGATGACGATGTATATAGCATTTATCTGGATGAAGCAAAGAGGAAGATGGGGGAAGTCAACAGGTTTCTTCAATCTGTCATTCAAACTGCGAATCACATTGCTATCCGTTGTGTTGGTGCAGAGTGATAAGAAAAGAGAGGCTGTTTACGCCAGGAAGGCAGGAATTAAAGCTCTGACAACACATACTAAGTCCGCGATTTCAGACACAGAGATACTTCGGAGTCGTATGTGCTGATAGAGAAGGATTAGAAACAAGAAATGATCCGCGATGGATTGGTATACTTACAACAGATAGGAGACAACTAGGAAAGGAGAAACTATTCAGATTAAAGAAGCGTTCTTACTAAACAGAGGCAGTGAAGATGGGCAGTTTAGAGCATGGACCAGGGAACGTGAACAATGCTGATGGCACGGACAGAGAGTTGGGAGATCACGGTGGCAGCTTGTACATTTTAACCTTATGGATTTGTATGTTGTATTTATAGCTTTGATTTGGTCTGATCCAAGAGTATAGAGGCAAGTGTGTTTTGTCTATTTCTACAGTATTTATATGGTAATGTAACACAAACAAAAAAATCTCCTCAGTATTTTTTAATTCGAACTTATGTAAGGTGAAAAAACTTCCATTCCAGGAATTCTGTGTCATTTAAACCATTGTAAAACCATATATGACGATGTAATTCCTTTTCTGATTTTTCTTTCTTCCTTTCAGTAAAGCAGACCCATTAAAGTTTTGGTTATGGAAAACGGGTTACTATAATAGTTTACTAGTTCTTTAAGGTGTTTGGAGAACAATGTACATGTGTTTCTGTTCATTTCATTTCTTGTAGGCTATTTCATATAATTTTAGAAGTCATTTGGCTTCGTCATACTTTGATCTAAATAGATTTGCCGGTGAAAAATTGTATAATTTTGATTTTTTTAATTATATTTATTTTGTGAAGAAGGGATACCAAATAGGGGAAAAAAGAAGCCCAAAATGAAAATATTAGGTGTTGTCACCGACAAGGAAAATGCATGTGGGTTTCTCAATAGAATGAACTAACGTAATGATAAAGTAGCTTTGTATATATCCATGATGTAGTGGCATTGTATATGTTGTCAGTATGATGTGACCGGGTGGGGTGTCCTGCTGGGTGTCTTCTACAGTATGTTTCAGTGAGGTAGCACTATAAAGTCGGCATCAGTTCGGCGCTATCACAAGGAGACAAACACGAACATGACCATAGCTGTTGATAGGACGTTAAACAATACTAAACCAAACCAAACCAAACTAGTGGCATTGTATATGTAATAAAGCCATTATGTAGTCGCATTATAAATACATTAATTAATAAAGCAGCGTTGTACATGTCAAAAAATAATGTTGAATTAGTATTATAGTGTCATATTTACATTTCCACTGCAAACTGATATTTTTATAAGAACAACCAGAAGAAATCGAGTTCATAGTGTGATGAACACAGGTTGATCAGTGTAATTTTGAGTCACCTCCAGCAAACATTTTGGTGACGTTAGGCTGTTACAAGGGAATACATATATTTAGATAAATAAAAAAATATAAAATTGATGGTAGTTTTATTCGTTTGCTATTAGAAATACAACAGACTATAAAATTGATTAATCTAAAGCTGTTAATGAACGCATATTGACATTAACCCGAGGTATCTGATCTACTCAGGGGCAGATATATCTGTAATCAAATACAAGTTGTATGGCCGATGTGTCAGATATATACCGGCAATGTATATTACCGTACCTGTGTCTGGCAGTGTTCGGACGAGCCTTTACACACAATCAACATTTGTATATACATGTACCTCACCACAGTGATAGAATAACGCTCACCAACGTGTGTCTCGGTGCATGTATACAGAGGTATCATATACATACGAAGTACATTAATAGAGAGAACACCAGCTAGATCAGCTGTTACAGTATTGCTACGGCAATGTCGATATTCAAACATTTATGAGATGGCAAAAACTGGATTGTTTTCTTTGCGTATTTCTTAATCGGTGTACGCACGGTTTGTTTTTGCACAGCGCCTGCATTACAGACTTACGTACTCAATGTATCAAAGTTACGACTCCTGAGAAGATAGTCGTCTGATTTATTGTTACTAGTAATAAATGTTAAGTACATTTCCTTTCTAAAGGTAAAGTGATCATTGGAACTCATACGGACGACTTGTTATCCTATCTTATGTTAAAGATACTCTATTATCCGGACAAATGATGTCCCCGTGTATTCACGAAATACACACATTTACGCATGATCAGAAGTCAAAATTATAACATCTTGAAGAAATCGGTTAAACGGAAACAAACGCCATAACTTAACATACCACAGGAAACGGATGTCTCATCCCGCGCGCCTTACTTCAGCCTCACGATAGTAACACACGCGTAAGTGAGCCCTATACCTAGCTACTCCTCAAAGTGTCCGTACCTATCTTAGCGCGATGTGGTGTGGTGTAAACCCTCTATCCCTGTGGATACTATGTTACTGGTGTGTCCTCGGCACGACTGACACAGTCAACGGTGAGTACTATATACATGGCATCCAATTTCTATCATATTGATTATTTTAATAAGATGCTGAGGATGAACCAGGGAGAGTATTAAGTGATACTATCTGTCAATTATTTCAGGTGGACATCTTTAATGCTTACACCGAATGCATCTAGGAACTTGCTTCATTTTTAAAATCCTGAGTATTTCACTAATACGGAAACCCCGTTATTCCGGATATTATCAATCAAACCACATGCTTGGTATCCGGATTAACGAAGGTTCACTGTGACGATGTACATTTTACGCACGTCATAGGATCGATCGAAGATAGCGTGGCATGACATCATGTCGTTGTATCAGTGTATCGATCTACGATAGTAAAGCGTATACTGAAGTATCTATATCTAATCCGTGGTAAGAAAGATTACGAGAATCACACGCTAAATTGTTTATGATGATTACTAGAAACATTTATACACTGTATGTAAAATGAATATCTTAATAATATGATCAAAGGATCGAATTATACCTATCAATACTCTGTTCGTCGTTACTGTATAGACATTTGTCCTTGACAACCTTTTTTTAAAGCTTTGTTTTCATTGACAATTTTCCTTATCAGTGTTCTGAGCTTTTCGTTGGAGAGTTTCTTTGGTTATATTTTTTGGACCCTGGACTATGTTCTTTTTTGCCAGCAACCCTCAAATGGGTTTTCATGGACAGTTTCTTTAGTTATCAAAGCAAGTTTCTTCAGAGGTTTTCCTTCAATTGTAATCTTAGACATTTTCTTTCCATAGGTTTATCAAATCAGTTTTATTCATTGATTTTCATTTGACAATAAACTATACAGTCTTCTTTTACAATCTGCCTTGAATGAGAGTTCTCTAATTGTTTCTAGGCAGCTTTCACGTACAGTCTTCCTGGACAACCTTCAGTTGCATGCTGTCTTTTGACGGTGTTTGATGGACGGCGTCACAGAAATACATTCTTTAACAGTTTCAATGGACAGTATATCTGTACATTTGTCATGAACATCTACTTCACGTAGTATTTACATGGAATGCTGCTTTCCTTGTACACTTTCATCACAAAGTTTTCTGGTGACACAATTCCAAGGACCTAGTCATTCCGGTCAGTTTACGCGAGGAGTTTCCTTGCATATACCCTTTTGACAGTTATCTTGAATACGCTTTCCTTGAAAAAATAACTTTTAACAGTTTCCATTGAACAGCTTCCTTCCACATTTGGAGGTGTTCTTGTACATATCATCATTCTCTGTCGTTGAAATGTTCTGGAGATAACTCGAGGAAATTGTTATTAAGTCGATATTCAAAATGTATATGTTTTTGTCTATGAAAAAAAAGGGCGATATTCAAAATCAACAATTACAGTTAGACGCAGTCTTCTTTAGCATTTCAGTGCGTTCTGTTTAGATAGGACGACCACAAATAAGGTGCAATTTAATGTTTTTATAAACAGTTTCATTGGTATTGGAAATAGATCGATATTTCGTATTTATTATTAATTTGAGGTAGAATTTCAATAATTTAAATTGCCAACAGCGAATAAATGCTAGGAGTGGCCTTTGTTTTGATCATGACGATAGCATAATAATGACGTTTTGATCATTTACGCCTGTTTTCTGGCTTACTAACTCATGTCAGAATCTGTTTTATAATGACAACAGTTGAACACAGAACAGCAATAGAAAACATTTCCCGTTGTTTCTCTCCCTTCCTGGTAATGACACAGGGTAAGGGCGAAGTTAGGTGAAATAATGCTTGGATCGTGCACAAGATGGGGACAAGGATAGGGTTTGTCATGTCAGGGAAAAAATTGATTCAAGGAAGATGGACAATTAAAGGTTCATAGGAATTCCTGTACCAAAAACATATTGGTACATTATTGTTTTGAAGTTGTTTACGAGAACTGTACAACTCGGAAACACACTTAATAGTCACTGAATGACGTAACACTATGAGAAGGTCAATGTTAGGGATAGTGTTGTATATACAAAGCATGCCGTTTCCGGGTACACCGCAGCCCTCTATGGGTCATCGCTACGTAATATACTTAGTTGTATCAATGGACAGAACCCAGCTGTGTGGCAATGTATAAAGTATATATTTATGTGATTACGGGTTAATGCCTTCATAATGACCAATTAACCACTGGTAGGAGCAGAGAGTGCTCTACGTTCACTGTCTGTACTCAGAGGCTCCACATAGCTACATAGATACTCATACACGTTTATTTGAAGCTAACGAGTAAGGAAAGAGATAAACACATTCTTTCATTTCTGTGTATCAATTAAGTACATTTAGTCTCTGTTGTGGTGTAATGTATGCTATCTGGAAGTCTGACATGATATCAACGTAAATGTACCTTTTGTTGATTAGGAAGTAATGCTCGAGGGAAATATTTAATTACCACTAGAATACGTTTCCGCATTTCCTTAACGATCATAGTTTCCAACAACTTACCAAGTAGTTTTTGGGTTTAGTTAAACATAAATTGTAATTGTGTGAATCTATTTCTCTGTTTGTATATCCACATTATAAAAATAATTTCGTCTGGTAAACATACACGTCTTGTTTCACCTGTATAACACCTCTTGTTTTTTCTGTAGCACACGTCACGTAGCACATGTTACACGCGACTTGTATCATTTGTAACATGTCTTATATCACCTGTATCCCACATTTTGAATCACCTGTAACAAGTTTTATATCACATGTATCACACATCTGGTATCACCTGTTCCACACGTCTTGTAACACATATACCACACGTTTTGTTTTACCTCTTACACACGTGTGTTTCACCTGTTGCACATGTCTTGTATTACCTGTATAACACATCTTGTATCTTTATAACACGCATCTTGTATCACGTGTTACACGTGTTGTGTTACCTATTGGATAACTTGTCGCACATACTAATATAGGAGTACAGTATACAAGTAAAATATCAGTGTTAGGGAAGAGGCTTAATACAAGGATTGTTATGAAATTATGAAATTAAATTGATTTTGTATGAGAACATGCATAAATGTGCCAAAACGCTTGATTCCAATGGACGTCAGTATTCATTATAGAGCGGCGGTCTTTGATAAGCACGCGGTAATCTGAAGCCTTTTAAAAAGAAATGTGTATTTGTGTTTCATTGAATCGACACTAATTACTCTAGAGATAATGCTTTAGTTACGCACTATCCATTAGGCAACATTGGTTTATGACTATTACATAGCTGCATGGTTGAGTAGGGTTTCCTATCCGTCATAATGTGACAGGGCACAACAAATTCCACGTCATACTCTCATTACCCTCCTTACACAAACTGACGGAGCGCATGGGATTTAAATCAATCTGCAATTTAAATCAATCTAATCATATAAAATCAAATAATTGCAAGAATTCAAGTAGTGTGCCTTCCATTTTAAACTGTCATAGTTACATAAATAACAAACGTCGTCTTAGACATAGCGACTTTAGCCAAACAGTTTTCTCCAACCATACATTGCCGTTGATTTCATTTGTCACTTGATGCATCTTAAGTCTCTGATTACACAGAAGCATTGCGGTTGCGGATATACGTCACGTGTGTTTGGGCTTAGTAAGTATTACATCCATTCCCGCAATAAATGAGAGCAATCTGAAACGTCAGATGAACACGTGGGTGATATTGCTTTCATGACATAGGTACAATTAATCTTTACACGATTTTTCTATTTTCTGCGAAATATTATTTATCATTATCCCTTGTACATGTTTGTTAGTTCCAAAAATCCTGAAACGAAGAACAGTGGCGAATAAAAGGTCAAGGACGAAATAAATCTCTATTGTGATGTCATCGATTTCATTGTTGTCATCACTTAATTGCTGCTCAAAAACTGTTCGAAATAATCAAATAAAGTATAAATACTCTATGAAAATGTAAATATAATTAATGAATATTTTAGCAAATATTGTTATGGTTCTATAACACACATTTATATTGCTGACAAATTGGCTTTATTAAGTTTGTGATCAATTTCAATATATGTGTTATAGGACCATAACATAATTTGCTTAAATATTCTTATATATCCCTAAAACGTTAGAACTCATTCTAGCTTTAATTCCGCCCCCCCCCCCCCCCCCCCCCCCCCCCCCCCCCCCCNACAAGCAAGCCAAAATCTAAACCTTAGGAACTAAACATGTCGTAAACATCTTGGCGGGCGGTAACGCAAGTGAATACGTATGCTGTTTATCCACAGAGCTAAGACTCATTGCCGATATTTTGACGAGTCCAACAGCTTGAAAGAAACTTACGTATTTATTGAAACAAAGCACCCAAAGATTAATTATCGTAAATTACCTCGTAGGTCTGCGGCAAACGATCAACTTAAAATAGTGCTAAAGCACTGCGGATCTGTTTATCACTTACGCGGGAACAAAGCACGAATTCTAACGACCCGTCACAAATCACCACGAAACCTGATCAGGAACGATGAAGACAAATAACCATTTTCTCCCTAATTACCGACGCCAGTTCGTTTGCAGTTTCTATTGTTTTAGTGCAGTTTATTCAATTCGGCCTTGTTCTGTACGCGAGGTAATACTTGCCAGATGCGCAGCGTTTACCACAGATTCCGTAAAAACACACAGCTTATGCCCATCTGTTAGTGGTACAAGAACCCCGACTTTATTCATTGATGACGTAATAAATCAACGTAAAAATGACGTTACCTCTCACCTTGAAAATGTCAAGTCACAAAGTTGTAGAGTTAACGTTGACATGTTGTTTTTGTTAAGTAATACAAAGATGATTACTTTCAATGTTTAGAGACATTGTTCCACGAAAGGTACTTTTAAAAATGAGTAATATATTTGAGTTTTTCCCTTCCATTTCAGTGCCGGTGAACGTTTATTGACAGTTTTCAAATTTTTTAATTCTCCTTTTGAACAAAAAGGCTTAGAGTTATGAAATTATAAGTAATTTGATGGTATGAATGGCTTTGGCTCTCTACCAAGTTATGAGAATTA